TTTATTTCAATCACTTTGTGCAATGCTCCCTCCCAAGTTTAGCCTTCCTCCATGCTGAGCACTGAACCTTCCTATGTGTGCGTAGCAGCTGAGCACTTCACTTTCTTCAGGCAGCAATGACGGTCATGCGTTCATGTCCGGGCAGCTATAGAAATTGGCAACGTGAAACTAAACTACAAGTGGCCCCGAAAGATGAAAAACGGTCAACCATTGACAAGCCCACGATTGAGAGAGCGTCAATTATTGGAAAACGGCGCATACAAATACGCGTGTGACTGGTGCATTTTTGAGGATCCTATTTGTCTACGGTCGCCAGCACCGGGTTTTTTGCATACAACACCGCTGCCACCGAATTCTGTACCCTATAAAAAAACGACACCTGGCGGGGGGATATCGGCTACGCTACTTTTCGCAGGCTCAAAGTACAGGCTCGGGGTGCAAGATTCGCAGGCTCGGAGTGCAACGTACACACTGCTTTCTGATGCACTTTATTGATTTTCTGCTTGTTGCGGCAGTTGAGGTACGAGTCGTCTGCAACAAGTTTTGTCAGGTTCTTTGCCCCTTCTTTGGCCCGGTGAAGTGCATGTGAAAGAAGCTATTGTACATGTGGGAGAAGCTATTGTGCTTTTGGCGAGACAGTGACGCCATCTCTGGCGTGGGACAGCCGTCAGGCGCAGGTTTCCATAGTGTTTTAAGTGATTTCAAGTCAATCGTTGCAATTACTTCTTGGTTATTTGCAGACATATTCAGTGCCAACACGCAAGGATGTAGGAGAGACAAGACCATTATGCGCACGATGTGCAACGTGCACACTACATCCATATTTGACAGATTATGGCACACAGAAAGCTCTTTGGCATCTTTGTTTGCTAGCGCTGAATATGTTTTCAAGTTCTGTTTACCGACACGCCCAAAAATATGGCAGTGGTTATTCGTGTTACGTGTAGTATTGATAGCCCTGTTATAGTTCGTATTCGGCGCTTTGCTGTGGGAGTGATCACACCAGGTGGAATGCATGGATAGACAGCAAGCTAGGCACCTTAAGTACCCAGCTTGGGGGGGACCACAGGGGGAACTTGTCTTCATCAGGGCCCCTAATAAAGAGATGTTCTCTTTAATGAACTTCACATCACTTCAAGCAGGCAAGCTTGAAGTGAAAAAAAAAAAAAAAGGTCACGGTATACCTTGGCTGTTGTCTCTGCCTTTGGGTTTACCCCGCAGACTTCATATCATCCGTGGCTGCGCATCTGGCGTGCAAGAAACTATATGAGACACACGCGAACGCAGCACAACTACAGCGAGTCGAGCAAACTTCAAGCCTTCATATTTGACTGATTATGGTGTGCGTGTAAACAGAGACACGGAAAAGAAAAAACAACGCTGGCGCTATTTCCTCTTTTGTGCGCATGCCATATCCTGTCCAATATAAATGAGTACCATCTAGCCCAATTATCCATGCTGCTTCGTGACTGGCTGATGCAGGTTCTGGCACGTGGAAGGTGCACTTTATGAGCCCCGACCCAGCCCTGTGCACGTACGTCTGCCACTGCTACGGCAGCTACGTGCTCCGCCACGACCCACCTCTCGTCTTCCACCTGGACTCCGACCCGTCCGAGTCGCGGCCCCTACGCGAACAGGACGATCCACGTGTTGCACGAGTGCGAGAGGCCGTCGCGGAAGCGGTAGCGGAGCACGAGGCGTCCGATTTTCGTTCGTTCTGCACATCGATGACTTTTCTTTTAAAAGCGCCATTGTGGTGCACTGGGAGTTTTTGGAGTCCGCCCATCCATGCCGTCGATGCTATGCACTACAAGAGTACTGACGAATCCTCAGCAAACGTACTTGTGCCGCACATGGGAAACACCTAGGCAGAAATGGCTGAGCCATGCTGAGCGCTGTAGGGGGCGGCCATTTGAAAATGCCGATGGCAATAGAATGACGTATTCATTTTTTTTTTTTCGTACTCGATTCTAACCGCATGCGATTTATGAACTCGCTTAACCAGAAAAAGGTGCGCGTTATATTCAGTAATTCCTGTACTGTCTCAGTTTAACAAAAATTACAGCCAAAAAACATTTTTCTCACCTGGCTACAGTGTAGCACAGCTAAATGTCCCTGTTGGGCTGCATTGATATTGTCATATGTGGCCACCTGCATTGTGCAATGTGTAGTTGTGACAATGTCACAAGCCACTGTCACCACATGTGTGACATGCAAACATTTCCTATACTTTCACTATATTAACGACTGTTCAAGGCCACACATATGCCTAACCTCTATATACTTTAGGCTTAAAAGTGTAGACCAACACCATGCAACACTTTAGAAGCAACTGCAGGTTAGCACTAAAAGATTCGACAGGGCCTTGCTGAAAGTACGAGTGCGTGTGGTTGCTTTGTTTTACCTGTATTTAATGGCTTGCCAAAATGGAACTTCCGACCCTAACTGTACTGCATAGGCATTGAATTCCTCGATCGCAAGTGGCTGCAGCGCTCAAGCTTTTGGAGGAGTTAATCACATCACTAAAGTTACCTATGTGATTTCAGTATTGAGGCATCTGTACAGATACAGAGCAGACAGCTTCGATTTTACGATCAGTTTCATCATTGTTTGCAATAGTAGTAGAGTGCCTACTTGATGCGTTTGACTTTTAATGGTATAGTTTAGCTCATATAATGAAATTTTCCACTAGAACCAAAGTTCTACCTCAGTAGTATCCAGTATTCTATACAAGCACTTATCTTTTTATGCTATCAGGAACATTACAAATTGTGTTATATAGAATGCAAATGAAATTCATAAGTTGTTATATTCACGATTGTTATTAGTTAAACCGTGTTTGAAACTTCAACTACAGTGGAATGATGTTTTAGTTTATATTCAGTTTATTGATATTTTAATGTCCGTGAGGTCATGTATGGCTAAACTGTGTACAAGATGAGAGCATTTGGTAGTGCTTCTGGATAAAAAAATTGGTTGGTAGTGCTTACTGGATAAAAAAATTGGGGCTGAAAGCTTTGCAAGCCTACCTAAAATGTCTACGTACTTCTATTCATCTGCTTCAAATTACTGAGGAGCTTGGTTTTCAGGGGTGACAAACAGGCCATACGTGTTTTTTGTATATATTTCACTTAATGTCAATCATGGATGTATCTTATTTTCTTTCAAATTTGTTCCACGAGTTGAATTACCTAAAAAACCTTAATAACAATTGTGAACATACCTAGAATACATAGCATATTTATTCAAAAATGTATGCAAAGCATAATGAATTTAGGATGTCATCCTAGCGAACTTTTCTAGCGATTATCCTGTTTAAACAACTTTTACCGACCAACTCATGATCTGGAAAGGATCAACAGTCACAAAATCGAGATGAAAAAACGTGCAATACATGATAGACACGTATAAAGACAAATGAGCATGTATGTAATTTTCTCATTCATCATCTCGCACTCTATTAGTACCTTTCAATCTCTACAAACTGGATGGCCAACTTAAGAGTAACTCCTGGCCTTACCTCTATGTGACCGTTAGTCAATCGATTAGTATTTACCCATAGTAGATAGGAAAGCGGGTCACTTGGCGCGTATCGCATTTCACGTTATGTTGAATGGCGTTCCATTGAGTGGATGGTTCGACACTGCTGTGACCCAGTTGCTATGCCCTCCATAAATTACTTTCAACAATCATTTTGGTTGAAAAGCAAACTGCACTATACCCGGCGACAACTTTCTGTGGCAGCACGGCCAAGGCTACGTGGGCGGAGCCTATGCACATGTGCTACTGCGCAAAATAGTCCGACCTCTTCGACGGGTGTTTCGGTTTCGATTTCACCAGCGCAGTCCGCGTCAACGCATTCCCACAACGGTGCCATGTGAAATGCGGTGAATTACGATCTGCGCGCAAGCACCATCGAGCTTAATTACGCGTGAATGGCGTTCATCGAAGGCATATACACATGTATATCTATCTAATTTGCAAGAGTGATAAACTGTTCATAAAATTTATTTTATTTGCAGCAGTATTTGAAAAAAATTTATGGATTTGGCAATAAGTACTCAATTTGATGTTCATCTCGTCCGCAAAAGACACAGGCTGTGTTCTAAACGCAGCGCGACGACTTGTAATGCGATCTTTTACTGCGAAAGAATATAGCAAAGCGTAAAGCCCTCTACGAGAACAGACTCTATTTGTAACGAATGTCGGTGCACTTTATTGTGGGGAAAAACATTAAAGGGACCGATAAGCTCAGGATAGGGTGGATTGCAATCGTTGGGAGAGGCCTTCGTCCTGCAGTGGACTTAAACAGGCTGATGATGATGATGATGAAGCAATTTTTAAGGTGCCCGTTTTCTTTATTTCAACGGAAATATCTGTGACACTGCCCAATCATGCATGGAAACGGGGAAAAACGCCGTGGAACATTTTTTATGAGAATTTTTATGAGGTTTAAAGCAGGTATTCGGTTGGTATTCGGTATATTCTGGCCAGTTGTCGGTCTTTTTAAAACGACATGTGCACAGGTACAGAACACAATATTATGGTTTACATTCACTGTGTTACATTCACGACTGTGGTTGCATTCATGTGAGGTATTCCAGTTCGCTCATATTACTGTCACTACCGTCACTCTCGGTGCTGGACTCTGACCCGAGTGGAATTATAAGCTGGTCGAGCTTTGAGTCGATGAGGCCGTCACGTTGCCACAAGTCCTCTTCGATTTTTTTCACATGAGCACATGCCTGGAGCCAGTTGTCTGGCGTTACGCGATCGATGCTTTCACGCACCAGTTTTTTCAACGCCGGCAAGGGTGAATGTTGTGTTGTTAGCAGCGACGTAACCTTTCACCTGGCTCCATATCAGTTCGATCGGGTTAAATTCGCAATGATACGGAGGAAGCCTCACGACGTCGTGACGGCAGCCTTCGCCAAAACATCCACGCGATTGGCGGGAAAACATCTTCTTGTGGTTGTTCACCAAATCCAACAGCTCAGCTTTCAATTGGTCTTGTGAAACGCGATGTTCTTTTCTGTCAGCCACGACTGAATGTCAGCCTTTCGAGATGACGATGTTGGAACTCTCTCGAGGCGGACGCTGTGGTACGGTGCGTTGTCCATTACAATGACACTGCACGGCTTGATATTGGGCAAAAGTTGTTCACCGAACCACTGCTCAAAGCGCGGCCCGTCCATTTCGGTGTGGTAGTCCCCAGATCGTTTTGCAGCTCGGAAGAGAAGGCATGCAGAATTCAGAAACCCGTCCTCACTGCCGGCGTGCAAAAGGATGAGCCTGCCACCTTTGCCGCTTGGTGCGCGAAGCCCTGTGGTCAGGCCTTGCCGAAAGGCCTCCTCTCGTGTCGTGATGTTCGCGTCTTCCCATACTTTATTCTTTGTGTGTCCGGCGTTGACCCAGGTTTCGTCAAGGTAGTATATGGGTCTGGAAGAATAAACAACAAAAAGGAAGCATGTCATCTGCAGCGAAGCGCGGCGAATGCAGCAAAACTCGGCTCGTGTCACAATTATTAAAAATTGCTCTCGTTTCGGCTCGCGTTTCGCTGCAGGAAACGCGAGTCGCATCTTTGGGAACTCGAGAGCAATTTTTAATAATATTGTGACGTGATTCACTGCCGCGTGGGCCCAGGTTGCTGGGTGAATGATACATTCAATTATTCATGTAATGGTTACACAACTCATCATGCACGTACCGTTTTTGAGCGCGAAGTTGTCGGATGGTACGCAGGTACCGCCGTCGCCACGTGATGATGTCGTCTCTTTCCAAAAGCTCACAGTTTCTCTTCCGTTTGCGAAAGGAAAAGCCGATATTGTTAAGCAGCCTTTGCATCGTTCGCACGCTCATTTTAGGCATGTTCATGTCACTGGTTACATCTTGAGCCAGTTTTGCAGCTGTTGGGAGTTCATTCCTCAGAAAGTATTGATGCACTTTTCTTCGTAGAGCTGCGAGGGAGAAGCTGTCGTGAAGCTCCAGTCTTGTCTTCCCGGTTTTCGCACGGTCATCCATGGCGGGGAGGCGCAGGCGCTTGCGCTTCGGTGACTTCAGGGTTCCACTGTTAACGTCGAGCTTAATCCGGAAGACACTGCGCTCGCTAACACCAGTGAGCTCGCTGACTTTCCGACATGCGGCTCTCACAGACAGCTGCGGGTCGCTTTTCCTTACTTGCGCGTAAACGTTGTACGCCACCTTCTTGGCCGGTACGGACAGCTTTTGATTTGACAACGCCTGGTACGGCTGCGCAGCTGGTGGACTCGCGGCACGCGGCGGTGTTTCCTCCGTAAGCGACGTTGACGAGCTGTAACCGGCGGACGCCATCTTTGACAGTGAGGAATGCAGTGAGGTAAAAAGGCGACGGAAGCCAAAAAACCCCCAAAAAACCTGAGAGAGCGTGAAACGAAATTTTTTCTACTGCGCAACGTTTTTATTCACTAATTAAAAAATAAATCCGCGAAAAATGTAAGTGACGAATGGTAAAATCTTAGTTACCCAGAACAGTATACAAACGTTTTCGTTGAGGGACTACATGCTGTGGCGCAGTAAGACAAGCGTGCTTCGGCTCTGTAGCCTTGGCTGTGCAGCCACAGAAAGTTGTCGCGGGGTATAGGGTGTACCGGTTTGGCTGTTGATGGACAGCAATTCAGGTAGACAGCAGCGAAGGAACTTGATGACTGAGCTGACAAATGGCATGTTTTGCTTTTTTTCTTCTTTTCTTTTCATATTTTTGGTACGACATGACCGCGTGATAGTGTCCAAGACGGGCATTCTTTTTTGAAGGTTGCGGCGTAACGAATACTTGTGACATGTCCAAGAGATACAAGATTACATATGATGACTACAAACACACAGGACATAGTGTTGTAGCCAGGGAGTTTTCTAGCTTTGTTCGATGCCGTCCTCACGCTATCGACAAACCTCTAGTCTAATTAGTGCGGCACGTACATCCCAAGTGATTCAATAATTATATCACTCATTCCACGTAGGAAGAAATTAAGGTATGCTTCTGGCACAGTACTCTAGTTTCAAACGTACAGATAGAAGGGTGATCTACCTCCCTCCTAGCCGAAGCCTGCAAAAACTCTCATCATAAGGTACTGTGTGCACGGTACACAATGCAACATCAAAACTTGTATAACAAGTAATCTGTGCAATTACACGAGACAACCACATCGTATTGCTGCTAATCTGACCCCCAAACAGGTTGTCGCACAAGCCAGTATTACGCAGATGTGCCACAAACTAAAGCCCATGAAAAATAGAGTATATGCATTTCATCATGTGAGCACCGTACAACCTCACTCTGTGGGGACCCATTTCGTTGCCAAGTTGCTGCAAGTCTTATGTATGACTGTATCGTTGCGTTGTGATTTTATATATAAATGGCCATTTTCCAGCATGTGATGGCTGTTGCGTACCCTGTGTTCAGGCCTATTGCCAAAGGAAGTGCTCTAGGGTCTTTGTCCCTCAAACTTTGGTTATCAAGGGGATGTATTACAAAAAAAAAAACACACAACAGGTGTTTTTTTTTTTTTTTTTTCAAATGGATAAGTCTTTCAGCAAGTGCCTCCCCTACTCCCGATGAAGACTAAGGGCTTGCCTACTTTTGTCGGTTTTATTAAAGGGGTATGTGTAAAGGATGCTGTGTTTTCTAATAGAGATGAATAAAGAGATACACTATCCTATCATCAGACAAGTCTTCAAGAGCCAATAGACCTGTGCTTAGCTTAGACCAGCTTATATTAATCTTTACTCTATATTTTTGTTGCTTGAGCAAGTTAAGTTTTAAAATAAATACATTTGCAGCAACTGTACTCATTCCATTACAAAAAAACTGAAGTTGTTTGAATGTGACCCAAGAAGCATACATGTAAAGAAATATATCTGGGCTTCAATCACAAAAGCGTGTTCAGATGCAGTTACAAGAGATGGTTATTTGGAAGGAAGCCACAAAGCATAATTGGGCTGAAATGAAAAAATTCAACGCTAAAGCTCGTAAAGACAGTTTGCATTCACTTCTGTATTTAGGACAGTCCTTTAAAAAAAATCAAAAATGGTAACTTTACAGTTCCAACGAGAATATGCAGAGGGTGGATCACCCGCAACAAACTTGAGACGCTGCACTTCGCGTCGATTCCATGCCGCAGGTAACACGCCACGCTCTTGTGTTGCCAAGATTCGTCTACGACTTGGCAAGCAACTCCGCAATAAGAAAATGAAGCCACTCACAATTAACCTGGCCATTCACATCATGCCCATAGAACTCCCCACTACTTAGTCGGTTCGTAAGGGCTCGTCCACGACTCGACGTCGGCAGGCATCAGGGACATGATTCCGCGTATCTTGCCGAGCACGAGAGAGTTGGTGCACTGCAAGTCGTCCGGCCCGTAGGGTGGAAGCAGCCGCACCGATCCGGCAATGACCAGTGTACCGGGTTCCTTGGTGGCCTCGCTGATTGGAATGCGGTTGACACACATCCACGAACGAACCTTCTCTTTTCTCTGGCGAAGCTCCTCCGTACTGAGCTCTTTCTGCGTCGGCATGAACAGTTTCTCGATATGCTCCTTGTCTGCAGGGCTCGCGTCTGTGACGACCGTCACCGACTTGACGGCATGTCCCATGATGACATGCAGCACCTTCGGTTTGCCGTCCTCAAACAGGACCAGAACGACGCTAAAAAAATAAAGAGCAAAGCAAGATCTGAGAAAACGCTTGTCTAACCAAACTTTTTGCATGTTTTCCTGCCTCTGAAAAGAAAACATCCAAGGCACTGCATTAAACAAAAGTGTTTGTTGGCTGTCGGGTGTTTTAAACATTTATGGGCACAATGCCAGGAATGTTTTCTTCAGTAATATTGTTAGCTTTCTGTTACTGTTATAATGTCACGAATACCATATTCCGTTCTGATTCGGAAGATCAGCTTTCTCTGTTGAACATGTTTGTCGACGTCATCCACTTTTTCTTCTCTTGGGCATGAGCCACAAAAGAAGGTGAACAAGGAGCAACCACGCGCGTTTTAAGAAACTAAGTGAGTTACGTTGTCGTTACCGTGTAAACGGTGTTGATTTTGCGGGTTAAACGAACACACACATAGAGGCAAGGAATCACGTGAAAGCAATGTAGAAGTTACCAAAAAGGAAACTGGTTGCCAGTAAGGCGTCGATCACAAAGAGCCCCCTACGGGCACATGGCTTTTGCGCCCACACTAAACTTTATATCGCTCGTCAGGACTAATTATGTTCAAATTTCTTCAGACCATACGGGACGGGTAAACTAAATGCGTATTATGATTACTACTCTCAGAGCCGTAGGATACTACACCGCCGAAGTACAGTCACTCGAGTCATGACAACTGTCCCAAGTTCAGGAGGGCTACTGTAGGCGGTGATTTTTGCGTTAATGTAAAATATGATGCAGTGCGTTCTGAAATGACTCATCTAACAGCACCAACACCTGCCTTCACTAATCCAATGGAAAATAGCGCACGTGCTTACCTAAGAAACGCCAGTGAACTACTTTCTCCCTTACCTTTCAGAGATTGGGTCGACTGTTTTAACGTAACCGGCGAGAACATCCCCCTCCGTAGTTTCAACACGAACAAGCTTGTGCACGTACGACATTAGCAACAAAGGATTGTCATTAGGTAAAGTGTCACTAGTATGTTCGGAACAAACTCCGGTCTCGGTTGCCATAGCACTGGCAGTCGGACAACTTATACGCGATCACAGTAGCCGATAACTCCTCGAGTTCTCCATTCCATCGTCGACGTGCATTATTCAATGAGGCATGCGCTACAGCAAACGCTAGTTAGTACTACTAACGTAACGCCTCCTAGATTTCCTGTGCCTGCCGGATGAGCGCGAAATGCCGGTCATTTATGGCGACGCTGTCTACGTATGAATAAAGGCATAGCCTCCTATATTTTTTTATAGGAGTTATAGAGGAGGCTATGATAAAGGTCTTTGCACTCAGCCTTTGAGATTAGCATTTTTGGTGTTTGTTACTAATTTCAAAGGATGCCTTGCATCAGAAAAGTTGCTTGTTGAATGACGGCGTCACTTACGTAGGGTTAATTAAAATTACGTTTACGCCTTTTTAAACTTTTTACGTTATTTTTGTTGCATTTAAGTTACAAAAAACGTAAAAACCTATTTGAAGACACCCCTACTTGAGTAGCGCCACCACCATAGTTCCGACGACCGCCGCTACCCAAGTGACCGACAATAATCCGGCAGGCACGCGCAGCGCCTCCTCTAGAAAGATGCCTGCCGCATGAGAAGGAAAACAACTGCCACACTCTTTTCCTCCTTCTTACTAGAATGTTCTCGGTCGCTAGTGTCACTTGTGGCAGACGGTGCGACAACGCAACACTTTGCATAACCTCCGAAACAGTGGTGTACAATTGCAGGTCTCGAATAACTCTCGACTGACGCGCTCCTATGGGCCGCAGATGAAAAACGCCTAGCTGGTAGTACCGTCCGCCGCCGTGATGATAGTGTCAGTCGCAAGCTCCACCGCATAGCGCTTGTTTAAAACTGAAGGCAGGCCATCTCCACCGGGAGCGCGAGCAATTCCACAGGCTTCTTTCTAGAGGAGGCGTTGGCACGGGAAATGTAGGAGGCGTCGGTACTACGCGCACAAGCAATTATAGCGCTTAGAGATCACAGCATGCTATTATGGTTACAACATGTTAAAGATCACAACATGCTATTATTAAGGGGCAGTGTGATGGTCGCCAAATGCACGCCGTGGGAAAGAGGCGCACAAAACGTGATGCCATTTTTTACGCCGCTAGGGGCGCGGCGGTCGTTGGGAGCGCGCGAGATCTTCGCCGCTACAGCCATTGCTGCAACCACGTGTGTTTGGCACTGTGAGCAAACTTCCGCACGTGCAACTGCGTTTGTATCACTCCTGGACGCGCACCATGTGAATGATTGCGGATAGCGAGACACTATTACCATGCCAGCGAAAGCAGGTACGTGTTTTGTACCCGGTTGCGAAAGTGGGTACAAGTCGTGTCCGGCAAGGGTATCGTCGTTTCGAGCTACCAAAGACGCATTGAAACGGGAGCAGTGGGCCCGTAATATAAAACGGGGCGATAAGGAACTAACCAACGACTGCGTCGTTTGTGAACGTCACTTCGAGGCAACGTTTATACAGAGGACTTATCGTCATGTTATCAATGGTGAGGCAGGCAGGCAGGCAAAGGACTTTTTTAATATCCGGAAGCAGCGCTCAATCCCCCTTAGGGGGAAACACCGGTGGGCCACTCCCACGACGGGACGAGGAGGTTAAACTCCACGGCTATGTCGTGGGCCCTCTGGATGGCCCTAAGCTGGTTTCCTTTGTCGTGGCTTGTGAGGAGACAGGTCCAGTCCGCCTCCGTAGAGGGAGACTCGCTGCTCTCGCGCAACGCAGGGCATTGCCACTGCATGTGTTGGAGAGTATATTTGGGATGACCACAGCGCGGGCCCCCGTATCTATGCCATATATGTATTTAGAACAAGTTAGAGGCGATGCATACGCCTCCGTCTGTAAGAGTCGTAGAGTTATGGACTGAGGTCTTGTTAGGTGTGGGTGCAGAAGTGGGTATTTCCGCCGCTCCAATTGGTAGTGTTTGCAAATTTCATTAAAAGTTAGCAACGGGGCTCTGAAAAAAAAAAACAAGTGACGTCCTCAGCCTTCGAGAGGTTCTCCCCGGCGTGGAATGTGAGACCTCGCGCCCGGGAGTGAGCCAACTCTTTGGCATTAAGGATGGTTCCGTGTACGTGTCGGCCAACGTGTGCCGGGAACCAGATTATGTGTTTTTTGCCTGACCAATTGGCAGCAGAGAGAACGCGCGCGGCTTCCCGACAAACTGAGCCCGTCATGAAGGCCGGTGTGGCTGCGCGCGAATCCGTGTAAATGGCGGTGCGATCGGTGGCAGCGATAGCTAGTGCCACAGCGACCTGCTCGGCGCGATCAGCGTTTGAATTTAATAAAGTCATAGACGACAAGTGTTCGCCTTTGAGTGTTGTAACCACCGAGACAAAGTGGTCCGTAGAGCTGTACTTCGCTCCGTCTACGAAGGCCACGTTATCCTCCATAGCGGCTGTGGTACTGAGTAGGGCTCGCGCACGTGCCTGACGTTTCCCAACGTTATGTGTGGGATGCATGTTACGGGGTATCGGGGACACTGTTAATTTTGTGCGCAGGTTTTCGGGGAGCTGCTGTGGACATTCTTGGTATACGGGAGATTTGAGCCCGAGGTGGGCTAGTAACCGTCACCCAGCTGCAGTGGAAGACAGCCTTACAATTTGAGATACTTTTTGAGCTTCTACGATTTCGTTGAATGTGTTATGAATGCCTAGCTCACTGAGCTTGACCGTACGGCTGCTGCCAGGTAACCCGAGCACCTGTTTAACGGACCGGCGGATGATCACGTCGAGACGGCGTATGTCTCGTTTTTGCCACAGGTGGGCGGGAGCCACATAGTTGATGTGGCTCATGAGGAAAGCGTGAAACAGTCTGCAGAGAGTCTCCTCAGATAGTCCACCACGCCTGTTAGCTACTCTGTTAATTAATTTAGCTATTGCTTCGGCCTTTCCGGAAATGTGAGAAATGCTGACGTCATTATGGCCGTTGGCCTGAATTACCATGTCTAGTATGCGAACTTGGTCCACCGTGGGGATTGGTGTACCATCCGCCGTCAGGACATTGATCCCCGCGTATACGTCTCTGCGCGCCTTGTATTTCAGGCGGTATAGAAGTAATTCTGATTTCTCTGCTGATAGCGAAAAACCGGCCTGCCGTAAGAATATTTGTATCATGTTTACCGTGTCTTGACGTCGCTCCTCGATATGGCCGTCACTGCCGCTAGTACACCAGACGATGATGTCGTCTGCGTAGAAGGCGTGACTGATGCCGTCGATCTGTGAGAGTTGCTGCGACAGAGCGTGCATGGAGAGGTACGTTGAACAGGAACTGATAGATCACGGCCCCTTGGGGTGTGCCCCTCGGTCCCAGGTTGAATTTCTTCAAGCCCATCGAGCCGAGTTGGATTGTAGCCGCCCTGTCACGCAAGAACGATCTAACATAGTTGTAGAAACGCGTACCTAATCCTGCTTCGCGAATCGAGTCGAGGATATGAGACTGCTTGACGTGGTCGAATGCCTTCTCGAGGTCGAGCGCTAGAATGGCTCTAGTATCTCTGGTGATCTTATCCATGAGCTCATAGTTGAGCATCAGCATAACATCCTGCGTGGAGAGGGACGAACGAAGGCCAATTTGGTTGATCGGTAGAATCTGGCGCTCCTCAACAAATTTTGTGACTCGATTGAGTATTACGTGTTCGGCCACCTTACCCATGCAGGACGTGAGCGAGATGGGACGAAGTGAACCTAGCGCTAACTGTTTACCCGACTTAGGGATAAGTATGAAGGTTGCCTCGCGCCATTCAGGCGGAACGTTGCCAGTCTGCCACATCATGTTAATGTGCTCGGTGAGAACTTTTATGTCCTCCTCGGCAAAATTTTTGAGAAGCTTATTCTTTATGCCATCCAGGCCAAGAGCTGAGCGGCAGTTGAGTTCGGAGATGACAGCCCGAACCTCGGTGCAAGTGAAGGGGAATGCAAAGGGATCCCTCCGTATCATCCGGGGCAGGCGGGTAATTGGATGGGGAGCTGGGTTCGGCACATAGGTAACGCGTAGCTAGCTCGTCGGTGATTTGAGTGTCGGTTGTGGGGGTGCTGACACCCCCCCCCCCCTGTAAAGTTGTCTGCGCCGCGTGGCGCACGTGTCTCGCCCCAGGGCGTTATTTCGGTGGTGACCACCACCGGGCGACAGATGGCGTTGTGTTCGCTTTGAGTACCACTGTTGGTAGAGTGGTAGCGCCGGTGGTGGCCCCTGGCGGAAGGCGGGCCTTGGTGGTGGGCGAGCGTTGAGCGAGCCTCTTCTGCGCGTGGCGGCTGCCGCGAACGGTTGTCTGTAGCGCGGGTCCCCGGTGCTCGGCACCGCGGGCTTCGCGCCGGGGTCCCGCGTGTAAAGTCAGGCGTTGGCGACGCCGCCTTGGGTATGTGCTAGTGTGTTAGTGTGTGTTTATCATGTTATTGTGTGTTTAGTGTGTCACTGGGTTATGTTGTTTGTATGGTAGCGTTGAGGTTAAAATTGATGTAACATTCGGTGGACGATATCGTCGTCTAAATTAGTTAATAAAAGTATGTTTGTTGTGTGCTTTGTACCGACCGCGTCAACTGTGTCCGTTCATTCCAAGAGCATGGCGTGGCGATGCGTGCGTTCGTCTCGCTGAGACCCCACACGGTCTTACCCGAGACTTTGAGTCTGTGTATTAGTCTGTCTATCGTGAATTGTTGAGACGCTTTCGACGGTTTGTCACCTAGTAGGTGTTTCAACAAGTTCCATTTGGCCATCAACCAAATTACACACTTCGTCCCATTGCTGACGCTCTAGGTTACGGCAATGTTCCTCGATTTGACGTTTAAGCTCCGCTATCTTTTTACGAAGGTTGCGATTGAGCTTTTGCGTGCGCTATTTTGCGTGTAGTGATTTCTTAGCTTCGAGTAGGTGAGCTAGCCGGCTATCTATGCGCTTGACCTCCAGTTCGGTTTCAACGTCTTTTGTCGAACTTGCAACGTCCTCTTTTATTTGTGCAAGGAGCTCTGATAGGGTTTCGTACTGAGTGTCGTCACGTTTCCTGAGCTCTCGAAAGCGATCCCAGTCTGTTATGCGAAACTGCCGCAGTTTGTGTGTAGATACGTTAATGATCGTCTGTATAATATAATGGTCACTTCCCAGATTCTCACCCAGGTTAGTCCACGTGGGTGGTCCGGGTTGCTATCACGCGTAACTATCACGGTGCTATAGTAAGGTCCGGGGTGCTATCACGCGTAACCGAGTTACC